CCCTATATGTACATCAAAAATAGAGACTCACAAAGAAAAAATAAGATTCACAAAGAGAAAATAACATCAGTACAGTGGAAAATGAGAGTTTACAAATAAACAGTTCAAATAAAAGAGCAGCAATAAGGCACACAGATATTCTACCAAATCTATAATTCCATGTCAAAGCCCCATCTCATAATCAATTTAAAAATATAAATATAGCCATAATGTTTCCCACCTTTCAGTCTTTATTTTTACTAATAAATTAAATATATGCCTTATTTTAAAATGCAGTGCACATTTACTTTATAATTTCTGTTTCTCAATACAGAAACTACAGATTTTATATTCTCTTCCTGTTTAGCAATTTTGATTTTGCTACGTTACTTTCCTTTTGTTTTTAACTGTACTTTGTCTATCTTGTCTTCTGGTTCCCTAACATTCTGGCTTCTTGATACTTGGCATGAGTTATTTTCCTGATGCTGGGCAGTATTTCATTAATGTTAGAATCAGATTACCTGCCTTAAACATCATGGGTATTTACTGTAGATTGTGGTATTTAAAATTAAAGTCAAAAAAGAGAAAACATTTTGAACTTTTATTAGCCTTGAATATTGGATAAAATATATAAATTCTTGGGAAAACATAACTTATCAAAGCCAAATGAACAAAAACAAAACCTTTAGTACCTATGTAAGCTTTAAATAAATCAAATCAATAGAAATACAGCTGTTAAAATACCACTAGTCCCAGAAGCAAGCAAGTTCTATTAAATATTTAAAAAGGAAATTATTTCGGTCAGTCTGTAAGACTCTTTTTAAATAAAAAAACTCCTAAAGAACAGAAAATTAGAGAATGCTTCACAATTTATTTAATAAAATCTATATCACTTTGATTCCAAAACAAGATAGAAAAGTCTTATCTACAGCAATTTGTAGCTAAACTACAAAATTACAGACTGAAAGTCAAAATCATTAACAAAATATTAGAAGCTGTATCCAACCATGTAATACAAATAAATCTCATTACTTGATAGCCCAGTAATGCAGGGAGCAGACAGTGAGGGTTAACAGTGCCTGGGCTCTTTGGGGTGCAGAAGCCAAGTGAGTAGAGCTCAGAGATTCCAAAGTCCCTTCCAAGTGTTTTTATCTCAGACCACCTTCATGATGGGTTTCCTCCTTCTTACTTTAAAGTTGAGAAAACTGAGACTCAGCCATAGGAAATGATCTTCCCTAATTAGATAACTAGTATATAGTAGAGCTGGGATTCAAATCTCAGTCCTCTGATTCCATGTAGTTGCTTACGTTATGTAGTCATATACTAGGAAAGGTTAAACAGCCAGCTCTCTAGGAAAAGTGCCCTCACTTGTAGCATTTGCTGATTTCCGTGGCATGAATGCTGTCAAGGCTGATTTCAGGTTGTCATATGATGTCACTGAACACAGAGTTGCGAGGAGATTCACAGAGTTGGCTTTGGGAGCTGGAGCACACTGGCTCCAGCACAGCACTGCCTGTCAGATATGGTCCTGGTGCCTGGACTGTCTTTATTGATTCATTCTTGCTTGTTTGCTGGAGATGGCTGACTTGCTTCTTTAGCATGCAATAACCCACAGGCATCCTTTATTTAATAGATACATATCAGTCATCTATAATATGTCAGTCATTTTTTTTAGAACTAAGAGCAGTAAAAACAAAACAAAAACAAAAGCAAAATCTCGCTCTTGGGGGCACATACCTTGCATTGCAGAGAGAAACAGAAACTAAAATGCAAAGTAAATTACATAATATATCAGAAGAAAATAACTGCTCTAGAGAAAGTCAAGTGAGAAAGTTGGATAAGAATGGCTCGATACTACATATCAATTTTAATAGGCAAGGAAAGCCTTATTGGGAAGGTGATAAAGAATCCAGGGATGTGGGTATCTGATGGCACATGTGGGTATCTAGGCATAAAGTGGAACAGATGTAAAGACCATGGGCATTATTGTACCCTGATATATTCAGTGACAGCGAGGAAGACAAGCATGACCAGTGAAGAGTGAGTGCTGCCAAGAATAAATAAGAGATGAAGTTAGAGAGGTAATGAACACATGTCATCTCGAGCCTTGCGGCAACTGAAGGTCTTCAACTTTCATTTGGAGTGAGGTTTCCATGTAAATTCTTCTTTATCAATTTTTTTTCTTATATACCACATGTCATTTCAATACACAGTTTCTTTCTTCATTCATGTGGGGAAAAGTTTTCTTCACACTTATTTCTGTTCCATTATTATGGTTCCCTAATTAAAGGAAACCAATTATTCCTATTTTGTATCATTTCTGCCTTCCATTTTTTTTATCAGCTCTGTGATTATGCTATTCTTTGTCTCTTTATTTTTTATCTAAATTCAGAGTAATTATCTCAAGGATTTTCTCTTTGCCATTATTATGTTCCTTTTCCTTTATGATTAACTTGATAACTCTGTAATCTTTTGTCTAGTTCTCAATTTTATCTCTTTATTTAACTTTCCATGTTCACATTATTCTACCTTTTTAAAAACTTTCATCTTTAAGGTCTGTGTTATTGAATGAATCTTATTCGATCTTTATTTAACGCTTGTGGGAAATATGCTTCGTTTTCTTGGTCTGTGTTTTCTTCCAGACTGAGTCCATTTTGTTATGCCCACTGTATCTTTTTTCATTCCATTCTTCCCTCCTTCCTTTCTCCCCTTTTTCCTATATAAAACATTTTGCTTTAATACATTTGGATAGTTGTCATGACATTTTTTTTAACCTCGCTTATGCAAGATAGGCAGAACTTATGAGCTCTCATATGGTATAAATGAACTATCTTCCATTTCCTTTTCATCTTATGTGGGATTGACGTATCTTTTCCCACTCAAGCGATCCTTTGAGGTCTAGGAGCTGCCTTTTTTTTTTTTTTTTTTTAAGTTTTAGTGTACAAACTGGTGAGTGTAAGGGCCTGGTTGGTTGAGTCATCAAAAGGGGCATGAACTCTTCTTTCCCTTCCAAAATTCCATTAACAATCCTGCACAGGGGTTCATTGCACCCACCATGGATGTAGACTCCTTCCATTTTCCCAGCTCAGCAAGGGACTAGAAAACTGTAAACCCTCACTGTCCTCTCTGCCTTTGCTATGGTCTTACAGTGATATGTAGGTGTTTCATACTTAAATATTATTTTTTTATTTCCCAATATTTCCAACTCATTTCATTGACTCACATGTCTATACATTAAAGGATAGTGGGCTGAGCGCGGTGGCTCAAGCCTGTAATCCCAGCACATTGGGAGGCCGAGGTGGGTGGATCACCAGGTCAAGAGATCAAGAACATCCTGGCCAATATGGTGAAACCCCGTCTCTACTAAAAATACAAAGATTAGCTGGGTGTGGTGGCATGCATCTGTAGTCCCAGCTACTCAGGAGGCTGAGGCAGGAGAATTGCTTAAACCCGGGAGGCGGAGGTTACAGTGAGCTGAGATTGTGCCACTGCACTCCAGCCTGGCGCCTGGTGACAGACTGAGACTCTGTCTCACAAAAAAAAAAAAAAAAAAAAAGAAGAAGAAGAAGGAAAGAAGGATAGTGATACATATTCATAAGATTTGCTTCTGGCTGTTGGTCTGACTGCTGCTTAAACGCATGTAGAACCATTTTGAATTTTTTCCTTTGCTTCATCTTTAGGTATATTTGTCATAAAATTAGGTATTTTTCCTGGATTGATTGCTACTGGTAAGTTTTTGGCTGTTTCTTTTGTTAACTTTTAATTTTATTTCGTTAGATATTGGAGAAATGTGTGTGACCCTGAATTGCTTGCTGCCTTTACCCAGACATTTCTAATTATTTTTTACTAAAAGCATTTAGACCAGAAATGATAATATTATTCTACAAAATAACTGGTGCATCTATCACCAGATAGCGGATATCACCAGATAACCGGTCATTATTAAAGATGATGGCTTTACAATTACTTTTGAAAATACTTTACTTTCACAATTACCAATATAGAAGAATTTGAGTGATAAGTGATAAAGCACCACCCCCAAATACCTTGCATTCATAAGATGAATACATTCTGGAACTCTAATATACAGTACAGTGACTATACTTAATAATGCTATACTGTATACTTGAGATTTGTAAGAGACTAGATCTTGTGTTGTCACCACAAAATAAAAGAAGTAATTATGTGACATGATTGGTATGCTCATTAACTTGATTATGGTAAATATTTTGCAATGTATATGTATATAAAATCATCATGTTGTATACCTTCAATATATACATTTTTGTCAATTATACCTCAATAAAGCTGCTAAAAAGGAAAAAGAATAGTGTTTGCCCACAGGTCTTTCCCTCTTCTTCTTGTTTCAGAAGAATCTGTTGTGCTCAGGACTGGGAATGTGGATATACTGGGCCCCTATAATTCATAAAAAAGATAGATAATTGCTCAGCAACAACTCCCCTTTCTCCTCCCCCTCAATTACAGTGTTTCAAAACCCAAAGGACATTTCTCATTACAATGACCCTCCTCATTTCCAAGCAGTGTAATAATACAGCAGATATTGCCTATCTGCCTAAGCTAGCTGATGACCTCTAAGGCTCGTGGTCTAATGCATTGGTCTGCTCAACATCTCAACAGTTTCTTTTAATAGCTTATGAGAAGGGACAAAGAATATGGAAGTGTGTAATTAGGCTGAACCACAGAAAAGTTGTTTATTGAATTCAACTTATTAAATAAAATTTTTCAATATCATTCCAAGATTTTGAGGGCTTTTCCATAGGGTGTGGAGTGCATATCCATTTGTCAGCCCTCCTGGTTTTAATAAGTGGCCTCTAAGTGACCAGTTCTGAGCACATTCGTCTTGAATATCAGTCAATTAAACTTATATTGTTTGGTGATTGGTGAATATCTACTTAGTACTCTTGGCATTATTAAGCATCTTTCTGAAATGAGAGTTGCAAAAGGGGCAATTTCCTAATCAGAAACATACTGCAGTAATTTCAGTTCTCATATCATTTCAGGTCATATGCTAAATGACAGGGCTGAGACCTCTCCACAGCACATGTGATACTGGGCTCAATGAAGATAAGATGCGCAAATCACGCTCTGTTCTGGAAAGCCCTAGACTGTGTCATTCAAGGTGAGAGGATTGGCTTCTCTGGTAAGCTGTGGAAGGATCCTCTGTGGATTAAGACCTTTCGTTTCTCTTAAAGGATGAATGGATATTATAAGTCCCAAGGATTCAATAAAACCTTTATAGCTTTAGTACAGCAGAGTGCCCGTCAGCCAATTCTGTGATTTTACTGTGTTTGTCTTTTGCAAAAATCCATGTGAAACCTCAAATGTTCCTTTTACAAGTTCTTTTGTTACACACACATGTTTTTGGTTAAATTAGTGGTGGTTCAGCCTGGAAAAGATATCTGTAATTAGGATCTTATTTTTGAAGTTTAAAAAGGGCGGGGGGAAGCATATATTCTATCAACTTTTCCTCACAGAAAAATTTACTCTATCTTCAAAAGCTGTGACCCAACACAGCAGTTTCTAGGATCCTCCAGAAGGAAAATTTTCACTTACTGCCATATTGTCAGAAAAAGAGGAGGCTTCTAAAAGTTTTTAAAAGTTTTGTTTTTCTCCTTAAAACTTAGGTATGTACTTGTTAAATAATAATTTATGTTATTTGTATAGTGTGTTAGCTTTCAAAACCCACATATATTATAAAATCTGATTGTCAAACCAGTAGTTTTACTTCTGTAGGATAGGTATTATTATTATCATCATCTTTTTTTTTTATTGCATTTTAGGTTTGGGGGTACATGTGAAGAACATGCAAGATTGTTGCATAGGTACACACATGGCAGTGTGGTTTGCTGCCTTCCTTCCCCTCACCTGTATCTGTCATTTCTCCCAATGCTACCTCTTCCCACCTTCCCCACCTCCCCGTCTCTCCCCCATTTCCCCCCAATGGACCCCAGCGTGTAGTGCTCCCCACCCTGTGTCCATGTGTTCTCATTGTTCAACACCTGCCTATGAGTGAGAACATGCAGTGTTTGATTTTCTGCTCTTGTGTCAGTTTGCTGAGAATGATGGTTTCCAGGTTCATCCATGTCCCTACAAAGGACGCAAACTCATCATTTTTGATGGCTGCGTAATATTCCATGGTGTATATGTAACACATTTTCCCTATCCAGTCTATCGTCAATGGGCATTTGGGTTGGTTCCGGGTCTTTGCTATTGTAAACAGTACTGCAATGAACATTCATGTGCATGTGTCCTTATAGTAGAATGATTTATAATCCTTTGGATATATACCCAGTAATGGGATTGCTGGGTCAAATGGGATTTCTGTTTTTAGGTCATTGAGGAATCACCACACTGTCTTCCACAATGGTTGAATTAATTTACACTCCTACCAACAGTGTAAAAGTGTTCCTATTTGTCCACATCCTCTCCAGCATCTGTTGTCTCCAGATTTTTTAATGATCGCCATTCTAACTGGTGTGAGATGGTATCTCAATGTGGTTTTGATTTGCATTTGTCTAATGACCAGTGATGATGAGCATTTTTTCATATGTTTATTGGCCTCCTGTATGTCTTCTTTTGTAAAGTGTCTGTTCATATCCTTCGCCCATTTTTGAATGGGCTTGTTTGTTTTTTTCTTGTAATTCTGTTTTAGTTCTTTGTAAATTCTGGATATCAGCCCCTTGTCAGATGGGTAGACTGCAAAAATTTTTTCCCATTCTGTTGGTTGCCAACTCACTCTACTGACTGTTTCTTTTGCCGTGCAGAAGCTGTGGAGTTTGATTAGGTCCCATTTGTCTATTTTGGCTTTTTTTGCCATTGCTTTTGGCATTTTGGTCATGAAGTCCTTGCCTATGCCTATGTCCTGAATGGTTTTACCTAGATTTTCTTCTGTGGTTTTTATGGTGTTATGTCTGATGTTTAAGTCTTTAATCTATCTGGAGTTAATTTTGGTGTAAGGTGTCAGGAAGGGGTTCTGTTTCTGCTTTCTGCACATGGCTAGCCAGTTTTCCCAACACCATTTATTAAACAGGGAATCCTTTCCCCATTGCTTGTTTTTGTCAGGTTTGTCAAAGATCAGATGGTTGTGGGTATGTTGTATTTCCTCTGAGGCCTCTGTTCTGTTCCATTGGTCTATATCTCTGTTTTGGTACCAGTACCATGCTGTTTTGATTACTGTAGCCTAAAAACCCTCAATAAACTAGGTATTGGCGGAACGTATCTCAAAATAATAAAAGCTATTTATGACAAACCAACAGCCAATATCATACTGAATGGGCAAAAACTGGAAGCATTCCCTTTGAAATCTGGCACTAGGCAAGGATGCCCTCTCTCACCACTCTTATTCAATATAGTATTGGAAGTTCTAGCCAGAGCAATCAGTCAAGAAAAGGAAATAAAGAGTATTCAAATCGGAAAGGAGGAAATCAAATTGTCTCTATTTGCACATGACATAATTGTATATCTAGAAGACCCCATCGTCTCAGCCCAAAATCTCCTGAAACTGATAAACAACTTCAGCAAAGTCTCAGGATACAAAATCAACATGCAAAAATCACAAGCATTCCTATGCACCAGTAACAGACTTAAAGAGAGCCAAATCAAGAACGAACTGCCATTTGCAATTGCCACAAAGAGAATAAAATACCTAGGAATACAACTAACAAAGAATGTAAAGGACCTCTTCAAGGAGAACTACAAGCCACTGCTCAATGAAATAAGAGAGGACACAAACAGATGGAGAAACATTCCATGTTCATGGTTAGGAAGGATCAACATCGTGAAAATGGCCATACTGCCCAAAGTAATTTACAGATTCAACGCTATTCCCATCAAGCTACCAATGACCTTCTTCACAGAACTGGAAAAAAACCACCTTAAACTTCATATGGAACCAAAAGAGAGCCCGCATAGCCAAGTCAATTCTAAGCAAAAAGAACAAAGCAGGAGGCATCACACTACCGGACTTCAAACTATACTACAAGGCTACAATCATCATCATTTAAAAAAATAAAATAAAGAGGGAGGAGTAGAAAATGCATGTGCCCTGCCTTTTGTGAAACTAAAAGAGATAAGGTGAAAACTTAACCTCCTGATGTAGCAGACTAATTCCTAGTCCTTTCTCCTGTGGATCCCAGGATCAAAAGATATGATATGACAAAGTCTCAACAGGCAGATGGCAGAAATATCACAACTCTAGCATTCCCTGAAATGTTACCAGACTACAGAATTGTGCAGTCCTGGCTACTTTATAGGATGTGCCACATTCTTAGCAACTGAGAAGGAAGATGCTAAAGAAGGGGAACACAGGGGCAAATTCTTTTTCTACTTTAAACAAGTCTTGCCACAGCTTTTTCTCCAATTTCCAACATAACCATCCTGCTGCTACCTTCCCAATACCACAGTTTGCCTAAGATCAACGAAGTAGAAAATAGGTATCTTACAGCTTAAGCAAAGGTAAAGAGTTTTATTCTCTATGTCTCTGTTTTCTATGTCTTTATCTGTAGCGTGCTCTTTCATGCCCTTTATATTTAATTCTTCAATTGCAAAATAATAAATAAAAACTGAATATACCCATAACATTTAATTCTATGATCATATTTATAAAACTCAAACTGTTGAAAACATTGCATAATGTTTTAAAAGTATATGCAAGGTTGGCATCCGTCATTTTTATATAATATTAAACCAAATTTTTAAAGCAAGAGAAGTATTCCTCTTATTATCATAAATTGAGATGAGCTATGAGGTTAATAAAATTCACACCATGATGAAAACAAAGCTTCAGAAAAACTCCCAAAGAAATTTCTAATTTCAGAAATCCCTCGAGATAACAGAGTTGCATTTCTCAAAAAAATGCTGAACCTATTTAAGTGATACTTATTTTAAAATTTTGGTTAACCCATATAGGTATTTTTGTGGATATATTTTTTGTGTGTGCTTAAAGCAGGATTTCTCAACTCTATTGCCACTGATATTTATGTCAGAGAATTTTATTTTATCTTTTTACAGAACATTACTTCGTTGCCCAGGCTGGAGTGCAATTGTGCGATCTCGGCTCACTCCAACCTCCACCTCCTGAGTTCAAGGGATTCTTCTATTTGAGCCTCCCTAGCAACTGGGGTTACAGGCAAGCACCACCACACCGGGTAATTTTTGTATTTTTAATAGAGATGGGATTTTGCCATGTTGGTTAGGCTGGTCTTGAACTCCTGACCTCAGGTGATCCACCTGCCTCAGCCTCCCAAAGTGCTGGGATTACAGGCATGACCCACTGCACCTGGCCTGGGTCAGATAATTCTTTTTGGCAGGGAACTATCCTGTGCCTTGTAGAATGTTGAGCAGTATCCCTGAACTCTACTCTCTAAATACCATGGAACCTTAAACTGCACAATTGTGAAAATGAGAAACATCTCTGGATGTTACCAAATGTCCCCTTAGGGAGAAAATCATCTCCCATTGATGATAATTGGCTTAAAATATACAAGAATGCAGTAGTTCTAATATTCACTAAGTCTAATAATTTAACATGGAGATATATACTCATTTCACTAAATATTAAGTAAACCTCTGGTATATTCAAGTCACTCTGAGTGGGAGTGGTGGGGAGAGGTTGCAATGATAGGTATGACAATGTCTCCTGCTCAGGAGTATGTAATCCCATAGGCAAGAAGAGTCAAGTACAATAGTCCCCTCTTATCTGTGGTTTTACTTTCTGCAGTTTGTTACTCATGGTAAACCCTGGTCCAAAAATATTAAATGTAAAATTCCAGAAATAAATGATTTATAAATTTTTAATTGCTATTGTTCTGAGTAACACGATGAAATTTCATGTTGTTCTGCTTCATCCCACTTGGGATATGAATCATCCCTTTGTCCAGTATTTTCATATGGTGTATACTATCTACTCATTAGTCATCTAGTAGACCTCTCAATTATCAGATAAAAAAAACAGTATATATAGGGTTTGATGCTATCTGCAGTTTCAGCCATCCACTGGGGGTGTTGGAAAGCATGATGAATAGATAAGAAGAAACTACTGTATACAAACAACAGGAACAAAAGCAAAATGTGGTAAATGACATAAACATTTGCAGCTTCATGAAATTAAGCAGCTGTCTA